GCTAATGAAGGTAAGCGCATTCTTGTGGTTGGTGACTCTCAGGTAAGATATGTTGACCGTGCTTTTTGTAATAGGAATAAGAAGATGAGAGATAGAGTGTGCTTCCCTGAGCTGGTGTTGGGGACATTGTCAACAGACTGGATAATATCATGTCAGGTAATGGGAACAAGCCCATTATCTGTCTCAGTGCTGGTGGAAATGATATTGGGAAGGGTAGGAGAGAAGAGCTGCTAGATAAGTACAGGTCAGCTATAGATTTCATTAAGTCTAAGGAGGGATCCAATCATGTAGCATCTTGCCTAGAAGGGGAGTAGGAAATGAATGGTTGTCTAGGGCAATTGGTTGTAAATTGCTGGCTAGACAGATACTGCAAGGAACTTGCAATCCCATTCATTGACAACTGGAACAACTTTTATGGCAAACATGATATGTATGCAAGGGATGGGGTTCATCTCTCTGGGCAGGGTGGTAGCACTTGCAGACTCGATTGAGAAGGCCATTGGTGAAATGCCTATGATTTTAAACTGATGGAAGATAGAGGTATGGGTGTGTGTGGGAAACAAGCAGGTTGCAACACTAGGGTTGGAAACAGTAAATGTATAAAAGGCATTCAGCATGAAGTTATAAATAAAGACAATAGAACAGGTCAGAAAACAAAGGGGACAGCAGAGGGCAGCAAGGGACTAGCTCCCTTAAGGTTTACTATACTAATAGCAGAGAGTGTTAGAAATAAGATAGATGAGCTAAGATTAATTGCAAGTGCAGGAAACATAGATATTATTGCTATAACAGAGACCTGCTCAATCTGAAAGATAGAGAGATGCCATCTGAATGTCACATACAAGGCTATAAATTATTCCACACTGACAGGGTCAACAGGAAAGGTGGTGGAGTAGCGATGTATGTCAGAGACAATTTAAATTGTTGTGTTAGACAAGATATTAAATTAGAAGCGTCAGCCACTGAATCTGTTTGGTTACAGCTTCTCGAGGGCCGAGAAAAACTAATTTTGGGTGTGATTTACAGGCCCCAAATCTTGATAGGGAGTGCAGTAAACTTCTATGGGACGAAATTCGTAAGGCATCTACATACGAAAATGTTGTGCTAATGGGAGATTTCAACTATAGACAGATTGACTGGAGCAATTTGACAGGAAATTTAGAGTCGGGTGACTTTCTTGATACGATCCAGATTGTTTTTTAAAACAGTTTGTGACAGAGCCAACTAGGGGAAATAACCTCCTTGACTTGGTTCTTGCCAGTAGGGAAACACTAATTAATAATCTTGAGGTTAATGATGAGCTTGGGGAGAGTGATCACAAATCACTCAGTTTTAACATATCATGGAATTCCCCTAATAATGGCAATCAAGTCTCCGTCCCTGACTTTCGCTTGGCTGATTTCATAGGACTGAAAAATTACTTAGGTGGGCTGAACTGGAATGACCTGACTAGGGGTCAGTAGGTGGTGATGGTTGCCGATATGATGCTTTTCCCGGCATAGTTCTAGCTGCTCAGTCAAATTATGTTCCAAATAGGGAAATCAGATCAAACAAAAATGATCCTAAATGGATGAACAATAGATTAAAATATCTGATTGGTCAAAAGAGAGGCATATATAGGCAAATCAAAAGAGGAGAGGGGCAATTAAGAAATCGATATATTCAGTTAAAGAGAGAAATAAAAAAGGGAATTAGAAAAGCAAAAAGAGATTATGAGGTTAAAGTTGCAAGAGAATCGAAGACTAACCCAAAAGGATTCTTTCAGGTATACAGAAGTAAGATCAGGGACAAGATAGGCCCACTCAAAAGTTCCTCGGGTCAGCTCACTGACAGTGATAAGGAAATGTGTAGAATTTTTAACACATACTTCCTCTCAGTTTTTACACAGGAGGATACCAGTGATATTCCAGTATATGATAAAATTATGTAGAACAGGACGATAATAAACTGTGCACTATTAGGGTCACAAGTGACATGGTCCTTAGGCAAATAGATAAATTAAAACCTAACAAATCCCCAGGCCCTGATGAACTGTATGCAAGGGTTCTAAAGGAATGTAAAGGGAGCTTAGCACACCTTTGGCTAATCTTTTCAACATATCACTACAAACTGGCATGGTGCCAGATAAGTGGAAAATGGCAAATGTGATACCTATTTTCAAAACAGGTGACAGGTCCTTAGCTTCGAACTATAGACCAATAAGCCTAACCTCCATAGTGGGAAAATTTATGGAATCAATAATTGCCGAGGCAGTTCGTAGCCACCTTGAAAAGCATAAATTAATCAACGAATCTCAGCATGGTTTTACTAAGGGACGTTCCTGCCTTACGAATTTATTAACTTTTTTCACTAAGGTATTTGAGGAGGTAGATCATGGTAACGAATATGAATTGTGTATAAGGACTTCAGTAAGGCTTTTGACAGGGTCCCACATCAGAGACTATTGGGGAAAAAATTAAAGCACATGGAATGGGAGGAGAAATTTTTCCTGGATAGAGGCATGGTTGACAAATAGGCCAGCAGAGAGTTTGCATAAATGGGAGAAATCAGAGTGGGGAAGCGTCACGAGCGGTGTCCACAGGGTCAGTTTTTGGGCCCCCCTGCTGTTCACAATCTACATAAACGACATAGATGAGGGCATAAAGAGCGACTCGGCAAGTTTGCCAAAGACACCAAAATAGGCCGTCGAATTCATTCTGACGAGGACATTCGACACTCCAGGAAGATTTGAATAGACTGATGCAGTGGTCGGAGAAGTGGCAGATCCCAGTTTAATATAGACAAATGCAAAGTTCTAAATGTTGGACAGGAAAATAACCATGCCACATATAAACTAAAATAATGAAATTTTAAAATATTACGGATTGCGAAAAAGTTTTTAGGATTTTCTGGTTTAGCAGTAATCTAAAACCCAAGACAACAGTGCATAAGTGTTCGCAATAAACTAATAGAATCCTTGGCTCATATCAAGAAGCATAAAAATGGGAGTCCTCAGGTTTTTTTCAACTCTATACATCCTTGGTTAGGCCTCATTTAGATTATGCTGCACATTTTTTGGTCACCGTATTACAGAATGGATATAAATTCTCTGGAAAATGTACAAAGGAGGATGACAAAGATGATCCCATGTATCAGAAAACCTTCCCTAAGGATAGACTAAGGCCCTGAAACGCACTCTCTAGAAAGACGTAGAATTAGGGGTTATGATTGAGGTGTATAAATGGAAGACGGGAATAAATAAAGGGGATGTAAATATGTGCTGATAATATCTAGCCTAGACAGGACTCGCAGCAATGGTTTTAAGTTGGAAAAATTCAGATTCAGAGGGATATAGGAAAGTACTGGTTTGGTAATAGATTGTGGATGAGTGGAACAAACTCCCAAGTACCGTATAAGGCCAGAACGTTGTGTATTTTTAAAAATAGGTTGGATAAATACATGAGTAGATGTGGGTGGGTGTGAGTTAGACCTGATAGCTTGTGCTAACGGGTCGGTTGCCGTGTTCCTCCCTTGAGTCAATGTGACCTGACCTGACTAGGTTGGGTGCATTGGCTTAAGCCGGTAGGGACTTGGACCTGCCTCGCATGGGCCAGTAGGCCTTCTGCAGTGTTCCTTCGTTCTTATGTTCTTATGTACTCACTTCTCGCCCTACATTAAGACTACAAATATTTTAAGGTAAGTAATGAGTGTACTGTATATGCATTTTATTGCTCTACAGCACTTTAAATGTCATAGTAGGTGGGGTGGCCAGGTGGGCTACCATACCTCCTCTCGCACAACTTTCTACAAATAAAAACTTTTCACCTCTCACCCTGCATTAAGACCATTAAGATTACAAATATTTTAAGGTAAGTAATGAGTGTACTGTATGTGCATTTTATCGCTCTAGGGCACTTTAAGCATTGTAGTATATTATTTTGGGTGGGGTGGCCAGGAGGGCTACCATACCCGACTTCTTACAGTAAATACTACCACCTTTTGCCCTACAGTAAGACTACATATATTTTGAGGTAAATAATGAGTGTTAAAGTGTGTGTATTTTACTTTTTATTGTTTTTTAATGCCTATTCTATTGCTAACTTAATATATGTTAGTGTAAACTTATCTGGCATTTATATGGATTTATAAGGGTAAAAAAATGGCGTTCTGCTTTGCGGCAGTAGCCTGAGCCTAACCTGCCTATAAGTGGGGCCCACTGTATATATTTAGATATAAATTATCATGATCATGTCTGCTAGCAACATTTCTCCAAGTTCTATTCTTGTTTGGTTTTAACCCTAAACTGTCCAAATGTAGATCTACCCTTTTCAACATTTGAAAGTATGTAAAAAATGTAGATCTTCTTTTGTTTTTTTACATTTTGAAAGCATGTAAAAATAACTTTGATCTACATTTTTTTTTTGTTATATTTGAAAATATGTAAAAAAAACGAAAATCTACTTTTGGAGCACTACCATGTGAACATAGATCTGTTTGGACAGTTTAAGGGTTTTAAAGGGGCCCCAACATATGTATTATGTTGTTTGAGCCTTACTCTGATAAGTCTGGTATTTAAAAATTTGCTTAACACCCAGATAATGTCCAGTCTGCCTTGGGGCAAAAAAAGAACATGTTTGCATGTAGATGCATTTTATCTACTGAAGACTTTAATAATTCTCCATGGGAGCTTCATGAATCTTGAATTACAGATTTGAGATTTCCCATTTCTGAATTTTTGAAATTGTTTGTATTTTATTTTTACATGTACATTAATAAAATTGAGAAAAATTCTTTAAATTTTGCTTTAACTTATTTTTCTTAATGCTGTATAGACATTCATAAGAAATAATGACCAATAGGAAACCTCTATCACTGAAAATCTTCAAACCCTCCATATAACCCTTCCCTCCTTCCACATCAATTTATACACCCTTTTGGTTGTCCTCTTCTGCATCTCTCTTTATTGATAATTAAACCACCTCAACTCTCTTTTGCTATCTAATTTTAATATGTTTTTACAGAGCCTTGAAGTCTGTAATTGTTGGTGCCATTTTGACTTTGTTTGTCGTGTATTTCATCATTCCATTGGTATTTCATTACTCTCCTGCACTTCAACGACATATTGTCTTCCTAAATTTTGGTAAGTATGCTACACTGCTTTGTTAACATAATCAGAATTTTATCTTGAATACTGGTTGTAGTTTAAGGTAGAATAATATAATCAAGTGTTGCTCTATAGCTTCATACTGTTTTGAAATTATACTATTCATTGTGATACTGGTGATATTTTATCTTTGTAAGGAGGTGATAATTTTTCTCTGCAAGGAGGCCTATGCTTTTCTTAAGAAGAGGCCTATGCTTTTCTTAAGAAAAAGGACACAAGTGCAACTAATGTGACATTTTATTGTGTCAACGTTTCAGTCTCCAGGAGCTTTATCAAGCCATTACCGGCTTGATAAAGCTCCTGGAGAGCGAAACGTTGCTGCAATAAAATGTCACATTAGTTGCACTTGTGTCCTTTTACTTAACATAGTGTTGGTAAGTCTACCAACATTAATACACATGCTTCTCTTTGTAAGAAAGCCAATGCTTTTCTCTGTAAGGTGGGCTAAATTTAGAGATAAAAACAAGCATTTAAGCCATATATAAGATAATGAAAGGATATGAAAGAATTAGTCAGGTTTCCTAATATCATCACTGGAAAAGAAGTTGCCAAAGCTATAAACTAAGAAAAAAGGAGATGCCAAAAAGATATTAAAACTTCTTAACTCCATCATTTGACAGAACAAGGTTATGAATACAAACTAGGAAGAAGAACTTCTGATGGCACAATAGACAATGGAAGAATATTAAAATCGTTTACTAGAGGAGGTACTAAATGCTACAAGCATTGGAAACTTTAAAAACATTACTTGGAGTATACTTGGAGAGGGTTTCATCGATCAGTGCCCCCACTGCCCAGTCTGTGACCAGATTATAATCTAAATGTTTGATGAAGGAGCACCAGGAGCTTAGCTTTGGTCATAGAGTTACAATAGACACAGAAATTATGTTCTGCACATAATGTAATTTACTGCAATGTGTCTGCCAAAGCATAGAAAGAAATTTGACTAAATCCTGTATGATCAAATAAAATACTGAATAAAATTATTACACTGAATTAATTTTTTTATGTTGGCATTACAGTATAAGTTAGAAATAGTAAAGTTGTTATGTTAGGGAAGCATATTTATGTATACAGTAGAGTCTGAAGTGCTTGCTGCCAAAGAAATTAAAAGATGTATGGTAATTGCAAATTAAAACTGCATCAGTGTACACTGTTGGGAATATCTATTTATTGCAGAGTGAACTTTTGATACAAAGCAAGAAAGTTATAGGTCACAACTAGCATGACCATGAATAGAAAATGTTAAAAATTAATAATAAAATGTACAACAGGAAATGAAATTAGTGTATAAGTTATGGCTCAGTATAAATACTGCACTAAAATACTTTGAGTGCTCTTGTCATTAACCAGATAATTTATAGAATGTTCTTTCCATCTATATTTCTAATACAATTTATATATAATTATTATTTATTGACAGTAAATCTTCCTAAAGGAGTAGACTACAATGTACCAGATAAAGAAGATTTACCTGGGACACGCAACTTCTATTTACAAACTGACAAAAAAGTTAAAGTTGGAGTGTGGTGAGTGTTCATTTTTTCATTGCAAAGTCCCCAGTAGTATGTGTAAGCTGGCCATGTGGTATTCAGGGTCTCGAATAGTATGATTAATTCAATAATTTTTCCAACTCGCAATAAGAATATAATGCTGTGTTCATTTTTCTTGTATGAATACAATTTCATGCAAAATGAAAAGAGGGTGAAGCAGCTGGGATTGATGGGATCAAGGAAGAAATGTTAAAAGCAGGTGGGAATATAGTTCTGGAGTGGTTGGTGCATTTGTTCAGTAATTATATGAAAGAGGTAAAGGTACCTAGGGATTGCCAGAGAGTATGCATAGTTTCTTTGTATAAAGGAAAAAGGGATAAAAGAGAGTGTAAGAATTATAGCAGAATAAGACTATTGAATATATCAGGTAAAGTGTATGGTAGAGTTTTTTTTTTTTTTTTTTAACAAGTCGGCTGTCTCCCACCTAGGCAGGGTGACCCAAAGAGAAAGAAAATCCCCAAAATGAGAATACTTTCATCATCATTTAACACTTTCACCACACTCATACATAATCAATGTTTTGGCAGAGGTACCAAGATACAACAGTTTAGAAGCATATATAAAGATGCAATATAAAAAGTGACCTGAAATAATATAATAAGCTCCCTGTAGAATATAATATCAGGGCCCCAATTATGTATATACCATCCTTTTACAAATCTCTCCAAACTGCCAATATCCCAAACCCCTCTTTTAACCCTTTCAGGGTCCAGAGGCCAGATTTCAAAGTGTGCACCAGGGTCCAAGAATTTTCAAAAAATAATTTTGTTATTTTTTCTTATGAAATGGTAGAGAATCTTTTTCTGACGGTAATAAAACAAAAAGTACAAAATTTGATGGAAAATTGACGAAATTATGCTCTCGCGAAGTTTGATGTGTCGGCGATATTTACGCATCGGCAATTTTGCTGATTTTGACTCCCATTTTAGGGCAATTACAGTATTCCAGTCAACCAAATTCTTAGCTATTCCACTAGTATTACTTCTATTCTATCGATTGAGCACAAGAAATCGCCAGGTCAACTGTTTCAATAACAAAATAAAGCGACCGGAAATTGGTAATTTGGCCAATTTAATGCAAAGTTCAAAATATTTCAATTTCAAAATAGGGTCCAAAATAAACAATGCATGCATTCGTGGCACTAAACTAACATTTCCTCTGTTCATTAGTTATGTTTTAAGGCTTTACAAATGAATTTCATTTTGATTTTTTATTCACATAATGAATTTTTATTCAAACCAAAAAATAGAAGATTTACTGTTGTGCAATACTGTAATAATTGTATAAATAATATCACCACATTTGTGAACGTATATTAGACCCACCAGCTGTCATGTATTAGACTTGTGAGGTCATTTGTTTACTCTTGAACATCGACAAAAATTTAACATTTCTGCTACTTTGAGCTCAGTTTCACGCCATTTCCAGTACTAAAACCAATCAAAATCATCTCTATTTCTGTAGTATGTCTTCCATTCTATTAAATGAGACCAAGAAATTGCAAATACAACTGTAAAAAACATGCAAAAAAAACTGCAAATTCGCTGTTTTAATCGAATATTATGGTCTCAGATTTTTTTCTCTCATTATGCACTGTGTGTTGCAGGATTTGTTTTATGTGGTGCACACATGCCACATAAATGTATTCTCTCATATCTAGCCCAGATTTACTGCTCACAGCTTATCAGAGTGAGCTGAGCTCATGGCGTAGATCTACAGTTTGGACCCTGAACGTAAAGCCGTAGATCTACGGCACGGACCCTGAAAGGGTTAAAGGGCAGGCACTGTACTTCCCATTTCCAGAACTCAAGTCCGGCTATATAAAAATAACAGATAGAGTAAGAAGTAGTTGGGACGAAAGGAAAAATGGAAACAACAAGTAAGAGAGAGGTGAAAGTGTATAAACTAAGGGAGGAGGAAGTTAGAGTGAGATATAAGTAATTATTGGCAGAAAGGTGGGCTGGTGCAAGTATGAGTAGTGGGGGGGTTTAAGAGGGTTGGAATAGTTTTAAAAATGCAGTACAGTGGACCCCTGCTTAACGATCATCTCCCAATGCGACCAATTATATAAGTGTATTTATGTAAGTGCGTTTGTATGTGTATGTTTGGGGGTCTGAAATGGACTAATCTACTTCACAATATTCCTTATGGGAACAAATTCGGTCAGTACTGGCACCTGAACATACTTCTGGAATGAAAAAATATCGTTAACTGGGGGTCCACTGTATTAGAATGTGGAGCAGAAGTTTGTGGCTATAGGAGGGTGGGTGCAGGAGAAAAGAGGAGTGATTGGTGGAATGATGAAGTAAAGGGTATGATAAAAGAGAAAAAGGTAGCTTATGAGAGGTTTTTACAAACCAGAAGCATTATAAGAAGAGCAGAGTATATGGAGAGTAAAAGGAAGGTGAAGAGAGTGGTGAGAGAGTGCAAAAGGAGAGCAGATGAAAGAGTGGGAGAGGCACTGTCAAGAAATTTTAATGAAAACAAGAAAAAATTTTGGAGTGAGATAAACAAGTTAAGAAAGCCTAGGGAATGAATGGATTTGTCAGTTAAAAACAGAGTAGGGGAGTTAGTAGATGGGGAGATGGAGGTATGGGGTAGATGGCGGGAATATTTTGAGGAACTTTTAAAAGTTGACGAAGAAAGGGAGGCAGTCATTTCATGCACTGACCAGGGAGGTATAACATCTTTTAGGAGTGAACAAGAGCAGGATGTGAGTGTTGGGAAGGTGCGTGAGGCATTACATAGAATGAAAGGAGATAAAGCAGCAGAAACTGATGGGATCATGACAAAAATGTTAAAAGCAGGGGGGACATAGTGTTGGAGTGGTTGGTATTTTTGTTTAATAAATGTATGGAACGGAGGAAGGTACTAGGGATTGGCAGAAAGCATGTATAATTCCTTTATTTAAAGGGAAAGGGGACAATAGAGATTGTAAAAATTATAGGGGAATAAGTTTACTGAGTATTCCAGGAAGTGTACGGTAGGGTTATTATTGAAAGAATTAGAGCTAAGATAGAGAAGGATTGTGGATGAGCAAGGAGGCTTAAGAGTGGGTAGGGGATGTGTAGATCAAGTGTTTACATTAAAGCATATATGTGAACAGTATTTAGATAAAGGTAGGGAAGTTTTCATTTCATTTATGGATTTAGAAAAGGCATATGATAGAGCGGATAGGGGAGCAATGTGGCAGATGTTGCAAGTACGTATATGGAATAGGTAGTAAGTTACTAAATGCTGTAAAGAGTTTTTATGAGGATAGTGAGGCTCAGGTTAGGGTGTGTAGAAGAGACGGAGACTACTTCCCCGTAAAAGTAGGTCTTAGACAGGGATGTGTAATGTCACCATGGTTGTTTAATATATTTATAGATGGGGTTGTAAAAAAGTAAATGCTAGGGTGTTGGGGAGAGGGGTGGGATTAAATTATGGGGAATCAAATACAAAATGGGAGTTGACACAGTTACTTTTTGCTGATGATACTGTGCTGATGGGTGATTCTAAAGAAAAATTGCAAAGGTTAGTGGATGAGTTTGGGAAGGTGTGTGAAGGTAGAAAGTTGAAAGTGAACATAGATAAGAGTCAAGTGATGAGGGTATCAAATTATTTAGATAAACAAAAATTGGATATCACATTGGAGAGGGAGGGGGTATGGAAGAAGTGAATTTTTTCAGACATTTGGGAGTTGACTTGTCAGCAGACAGGTTTATGAAGGATAACGTTAACCATAGAAATGATGAAGGAAAAACGGTGAGTGGTGCATTGAGGTATCTGTGGAGATAAACAAACCATTATCCATGGAGGCAAAGAAGTGAATGTACAAAAGTATAGTGGTACCAACACTTATATGGGTGTGAAGCTTGGGTTGCAGATGCTGCAGCAAGGAGGTGGCTGGAGGCAGTGGAGATGTCCTGAATAAGGGCAATATGTGGTGTAAATATTATGCAGAGAATTTGTAGTGTGGAAATTAGGAGGAGGTGTGGAGTTTCTAAAAGTATTAGTCAGAGAGCTGAAGAGGGGTTGTTGAGGTGGTTTGGTCATTTAGAGAGAATAGATCAAAGTAGAGTGACTTGGAGAGCATATAAATCTGTAGGGAAAGGAAGGCAGGTTAGGGGTCATCCTAGAAAAGGTTGGAGGGAGAGGGTAAAGGAGGTTTTGTGGGCGAGGGGCTTGTACTTCCAGCAAACATGTTCGATAGAAGTGAATGGAGACGAATGGTTTTTGGGACCTGATGAGCTGTTGGAGTGTGAGCAGGATAATATTTAGTGGAGGGATTCAAGGAAACTCGTTATTTTTATATAGCCGGACTTGAGTACTGGAAATGGGAAGTACAAAGCCTGCACTTTAAAGGAGGTGTTTGGGATATTGGCAGTTTGGAGGGGTATGTTACATATCTTTATCTTTCTTTCAACGTACCAGCCGTATCCCACCGAGGTGGGGTGATCCATAAGGAAAAACGAAAGTTTCTCCTTTTAAATTTAGTAATATATACAGGAGAAGGGGTACTAGCCCCTTGCTCCTGGCATTTTAGTCGCCTCTTATGACACGCATGGCTCATGGAGGAAGAATTCTGTTCTACTTCCCCATGGAGATAAGAGGAAATAAACAAGAACAAGAACTAGAAAGAAAATAGAAGAAAGCCCAGAGGAGTATGTATGTACAGTTGACTCTCAACTAATGGCGGCACACTGCCATAACAACATACTGGAGTGAGAGATATGGGAGGAAGTGTAAAATAAATCCAGTGAAGAGCAGGAGTGCAGTGGGGACAGTAAAGGAACACTGTATCAACATCTGGGGTCCCAGACTATTCAACATCTTACCAGAAGATATCAGAAACACGGCTGGAACCAGTGTAGAAGCCTTCAAGAGGAAACTGGACAAGTATCTTTACCAGGTGCCAGATCAACCAGGCTGTGATGGATATGTGGGGCAGCGGGCCTCCAGCAGCAACAGCCTGGTTGACCTGGTAAGCACCA